CATTTTGTCGGGCAGTTTCATTTCAATTTTCCCGAAATACAAATTCAACCTTCATTATGGTGGAATGGTGATGTATTTAAACATTTTTTAAAATCAGAAAAAAATTAAGACCTCTAGAGAATCTGCAAGCTAAAAATGCGATTTTTCGACCAATCAGGGCCATAATCCAGGAAGTTACGTTCGGGTATCGATGATTATCAAAAGGAACCAAGATCTTAGTGTGTAATGGTGATATATTCACACGTTTTTTTTAAATCGGATAAAAATTGTGACCTCTAAAGGGACCACAAGCTAAAAACGTGATTTTTTGTTCAATCAAGGGCCATAATTCAGGAAGTTACAATCCGATATGCGCCAATATCGAAAGGAACCAATATCCTTCGGTTATAAACATGTATTTCAAGTTTCATTGAAATCGGATCAAAATTGTGACCACTAGAGGGTCCACAACCTTGATTTACCAGATGTTTACACTATTTGCGTACAAGGGGCGGCCATTTTGTCCGGCAGTTTTGGCCCGATTTTGACGAAATTCGAACTCAACAAACATTACGGTGCAACGGTGATATATTCGAACTTTGTTTTAAATCAAATAATAATTGTGACCTCTAGAGGGACCACAAGCTAAAAATGCGATTTTTTGTACAATCAGAGGCCATAATTCCGGAAGTTACAATCTGATATGCGTGAATATTGAAAGGAACCGAGATCTTGAGGTTATAAACTTGCATTTCAAGTTTCATCAAAATCGGATCAAAATTGTGGCCTGTAGAGGGTCCACAACTTTGATATACCCAGATGTTTACACTATTTGCGTACGAGAGGCGGCCATTTTGTCCGGCAGTTTTGGTCCGATTTTCATGAAATTCAAAATCAGACAAAATTATAGTGTAACGGTGATATATTCAAATGTTTTTTTAAATCAGATAACCAGCGGCTGCCAGGCAGAATACGCCCACATTTTGCAAGAGATGGATAGAGAACAAGCTAAAAACAAAAACGATATTTTTGTACAATCAGTGGCAATAATCCAGAAAGTTATGTGGTCTGAAATGCGCAAATATCAAAAGGGACTGACATCTTTGGGATATAAGATATGTTTTAAGTTTCATCAGAATCGGATAAAAATTGTGACCTCTAGAGGGTCCACAACCTTTGTATTGCATACTTTCACACAATTTGCGTACAAAGAGCGGCCATTTCATTTCGATTCTCCCGAAATTCGAATTCAACCATTATTATGGTGGAATGGTGAAATATTTAAACGGTTTTAAAAATCGGAAAAAAAAATTGTGACCTCTAGAGAATCTGCAAGCTAAAAATGTGATTTTTCGAACAATCCAGAGCCATAATCCAGTAAGTTACGTTCGGATATACGCAATTATCAAAAGGAACCAACATCTTAGTGTGTAATGATGAAATATTCATGTTTTTTTTAAATCGGATAAAAATTGTGACCTCTACATGGACGGCAAGCTAAAAAGGTGATTTTTTGTACATTCAAGGGCCATAATTCAGGAAGTTACGTTCCGATACGCATGAATATCGAAACGAACCAAATTCTTTGGGGTATAAACATGTATTTCAACTCTCATAAAAATGGCATAACAAGTGGCTGCCAGGCAGGAAACGCCCACATTTTCTAGAGATGGATAGAGAACAAGCTAAAACGAAAGTGATTTTTCCTACAATCAAGGGCCTTAATTCAGGAAATTACAATTCGATATGCGCAAATATCGAAAGGAACCAAGATCTTTGTGTTATAAACTTACATTTCAAGTTTCAACAAAATCGGATAAAAATTGTGACCTCTATAGGGTCCACAACCGTGATATACCATATTATTACGCTATTTGAGAACAAACAGCGGCCATTTTATCTGTCAATTTTGGGCCGTTTTACACGAAATTCGAACTCAGCCATCCTTAGGGTTTAACGGTGATATAATAATACGTTTTTTTAAATCAGATAAAAATTATGACCTCTATAGGGTCCACAAACTAAAAACGCGATTTTTCGTACAATCAGGGGCCATAATTCAGGAAGTTACTGTCCGATATGCACGAATATCGAAAGGAACCGAGATCTTTGGGTTATAAATTTACATTTAAAGTTTTAACAAGATCGGATAAAAATTGTGACCTCTATAGGATCCACAAGCTAAAAACGTGATTTTTCGTACAATCTGGGGCCATAATCCATGAATTTTCGATCCGATACATGCCAATATCGAAAGCAGCCGAGATCTTTTGGGGATAAACCTATATTTCAAGTTTAGTCGAAATCGGATAAGAATTGTGACCTGTAGAGAGTCCACAAACAATTGTGGACGGACGGACGGACAGGGGCGACGGCATTTCATGTGGACGTATAAAAATTGTGACCTCTATGGGGTCCACAAGCTAAAAACACGATTTTTCATACAATCAGGGGCTATAATTCAGGAAGTTATGGTCCAATATGTGCGAATATCGAGAGGAACCGAAATCTGTTGGTTATAAACATGCATTTCAAGTTTCATCAAAATCAGATGAAAATTGTGACCTCTACAGAGTTCACAAGCTAAAAACGTGATTTTTCGTACAATCAGGAGCCATAATCCATGAAGTTACAGTCCGATACTTGCCAATGTTGAAAGGAACCGAGATCTGAGGGTGATAAACCTTTATTTCAAGTTTCATTGAAATCGGATTAAAATTGTGACCTGTAGAGTGTTCACAAACAATTGTGGACGGACTGATGGACGGACGGACAGGGGTGACGACAATGAAAATGTGGGCGTATAAAAAGTGCATGTTCGTACTAACATTATTGATACATTTAAACGCACAGTAAAAATTGTACCAATGTTATGATATGATACCCACACACACAGTGGCCACTGATAGGACAGTAATTTAAAGAAATTGAACCAGGAATTAGATACTATCAAAGTTTCCCACTACATGTAGTCATTAAAACTTATTTAAGCTGGAAAAACACATTCTATTAATAAAAGCTAAACATTTTTATATATATAAATTGAATAAAAATGTAGGTCATAGCACCGACTTTGTAATTTATTTATCCAATTATATCTAAAAACTTCACATGCATGATGTACCTTAATTCTCTGCAAGAGGCTACACTTAATTAAAACCAAAGTTAACATGGCCCAAAGTATCAACAAATCAGATTGCTTAGCTCTGCTTACTGTAAGCACTAAGTCTGAACATTCTAGCTCAGTTATTGTGTCACAAAACGTGTGACGTACAGACAGACAGACGGACAGACAGGTGAACGGACGGACGAACCCATTTTCATAGTCCCCTGCTTTCTTCGCAAAGTGGGGGACAAAAAAGATTATTCACCCGACCAACCCTAATGCCTAGGGCAGACAGGCGTATTTTTTCGCCCGATAGCGTCAAATTTTAAAATAGCTCGAAAAAATCGCCAGTGTGCCTGTTCACAGTGACGATGATTCTGCTTGCCGAATCATTCAGCCGACTGATCGCCTGTATCTAGCATGTTAGATATTTTTGGCCGAATATTTTACGCCGGTAATCGAATCACCTGCATATCCACTCGCCTGCATGTGTCCAGCGTATATTGTCCGGGGCGAACCATTTTCATAAGCCAATCGAAGACATCACTCATATCAGATGATCTCAAAATTGGCTGCCTCCACTGCAGAAGTGTGGAGTCTCACAAAAGAAGAAGAATTGGTGATTCTTTGGTCAGAAAGGCTTTGCCTGTGTGACGTCACGATTCCAGTGTTTTAGAGGCAAATGAATAGCAACTACCACAGCAATCTTACGTTTTAGGCGCTTCGCCATTTTGTACAAGTCACATGATGTAGAATGTATTTATTTTCAGAAACCCAATATCTTGTGGAACTCCTGTGGTGAAAAGTTCCACACAAATGCCCTCAAACCTTGCTATAAATGACATGATCGATGTAATTTACTCGCAGAGACGATTGCTACGTGTGCTTGTTCATTATTGGTCCTCAAAAATCGTCGGCGAATTTCAATTGCCATGATCAAGCGAAAAATATGCTCATCTGCCCATAGCTTAACCAAGTAACCATAAACTCAGCTATTAATTTGTTTTGCCTGTTGAGTATGTCCTGAAGTAAGCTTATAATTTAAATTATAACATAAAAATTCAAAAAGTATCCAATTTACTGTGAGAATAATATACATCCATATTATTAGGGTTTTCTTTGTTATACAGATAGTTTTTGAACATTATATCTGTATTTAATACACAAGTAGGGAGTAGTTCATTTACTGAATTTACATTATATATATATACTATATACTATATAGGCAGACAATAATTGTAAATTACTAGTAACATAAGCAGCCTGTCATGACATTTATAAATTCAATTCTTAGTCATACCTTGTAATAATTAGTTTATTTCACAGTTTAGTGACATATTTTCATCTGAATCTCTACTTAAATAACTTTTTATGTATTTAATAAAATGTGGCACTGGACTCTTCTCTAAAGTGTACCGGGTTCGAATCCTGGTGTGGGCCAAGAAGAACCTTATTGTCTTTCATATAAACTTTGTGGCCTGAGGGACCAACAAACATAGACAGGGCTTGTCAGGCCCTCTAATTTGTCCACCACCGTCAATGTCAGTTTATAAAAATCGATGAAATGCAGTCACAACTATGATCCAAAAATTCTAACAGATGAATCCATTTAAATAGTCCCCAGGGAACAAATAAAATTCTGGAAATTTCATTGATTTTAAGTGAACAAAGCGCCATAGCAGACAATAAAAGTCCAAAGTTTTGGTACTTCTGGATCTCATTCCAGTTTTCGATCAAAAAGTCTCTATTGATTGTTTGTCGTGCAATCCAAGGACCCGTTTCATTTATTTTTAGTTTTCAAGGGCCATAATTCAGTAAAATAATTTCCCTGATTTTATCTGAACATCATCCACTCTGGAAAAATATGAATAAACTTGGATTAGATGGTTAAATTAAACATAATACAATAACTTACCTTCATCAATTAAATCTTCAAAGGGTTCTTCAGGAGAAGTAACATCAGGTCGTATTTGGAACTGATCAGGTACTGTTAAACTAGATTTAGTTTGTGGAAATTCATTAGATCTCATACGAGATATCTTTCTATGTCCTGCTAAATTAGTCAGATTACTTTCAGCTGCGGTTAGTGCCGCTAGGGCAGCATCTCTCTCTGCAGCATTGATAGCTTGTGATTTGGGTCTAGTCGGCGGATCAAGATCTTCTATAACTAATGATGGTCGTTCTAATGTGGGTGAACCACCACTAACTGTAGCTCGCCTTTGTTTAGGATCAGTATTTATTGGTAGTGTGTATTGTGGTGACTCTGATCCACTACGGAACACATCATTATCAGTGTCATTACCATCAGTGCCTTCTCTGTAAAACATCAATAAGAATTATATATATCATTTCTTGATACAAAAATATAAGCCTAATCTGTTCCTTACTATGTGAATTTGTCAAATAGACAAATGTTTTATGCATTTTGATTTTTTTGGTGAACTGTTTAAATTGCAATACAATGTGTTATTTATTCTTGCATTGGATAAAGCTACGTGCAGATGAATGTATTTTTATGTCTCATCGCGGCGATTGAATTCTGCTGCCAGCGATCTTTTAAGGTCGATCACGAGCGGGCGCTTGTAGCGATCGTCTCGAGAGCATACGCCACTCTGCAAGTAAATTATGTTGCTCATGTGACTTGTACAAAATGATGAATCGCCTAAAACGTAAGCTTGCTGTGGTAGCTGATATTTATTTGCTTCTAAAACTCTGGAATTGTGACGTCTAACAGGCAAGGCCTTTCTGACCAAAGAATCACCATTTCTTTTTCTTTCGCCAGACTCCATGCTTCGGCAGTGGAGGAAGACATTTTGAGATCCGATTGGCTTATGAAAATGGTTCGCTCGATAATATACGCTGGATACGGGCTCACAGCCGAATCGTCTTCACTGTGAAGGGTCAAATGAGCGATTTATTTTTAGCGATTTTAAAAATTGGTGCGATCGGGCAAAAAAAAATTACACTTGTCTGCCCCCAATTAAGTCTCTATGGCTTAATGCAATAAGGAATTAATATACAGCGTAATAAATGAAATCTGCGTCACTGAACACTCAGAACTATACAAGTTTTCAAAGAGCTTTTCTTACTCAGTGAATACCGATATAGATATATTAGACCTGTTCCATTGGTGTTACAGCAACAGGGGCAATAACTGTGTGTTAAATCAATGTGCGTCTCTGATTTCAAATAAGATTCCTCTTAAAAAAACTCTTATAAGGCTCTGTTAAAAGTGCAATAACTCCACATAAACTAGAACTGCGATGCAGTAATGACGGGTTTCACTGGTGCCATGTTACCCTTGATCTTATGTCTTCATAAGCATCGTACACGCGTTATAAAATAGACGCAGAATCAACCAAATCCATCAATATCAATTTCATTGATACATTTGTTACCATTTGTTACACTGTGTTACACATGTCAACAAAGCGGTCCTGACAAAATTTGTTACTAACTTAATCTTCACTTCTACTAAGTCTGTTGTGCTACTGTTGAGCGGAGATTCTTTAATTTATTTTATTTACGCCTGGGCCCCACCGGTATCTCTTTCCTGATCTAGTATCCACGCAGATGTATGAGCCTGTCCAGCTATAGTTACCTTGCTAAGGGAGTGTTGTCGTCCCTCTTCTCGTATCCCGAATAATAAATATATAACTTACTTCAAAAAAACATTTGTTTTGGATGCTAAAAATACAATTTTTGCCAAAAAGACATTACTTCCGGTGATAATGAAAATGTTAAATTAGTTCTATGAAATCATACATGGCATAAGGCATCACATGGTGAAACTTTTTTGAAAATCGAATAATAATTGACACTTTTTAAGATCAAAAACCTTGAAAAGTGACTTGTAGAAAATCGTCTATTTCTCTGCAACCGTAAAAGTTAGAAACCATTTGGTGATATCTGTGGAATCAAATATCATAATTTAAAAAATATTACAAATGAGAATCATGTGAATAAAATATTGTTTTGAAGGCTAAAAATACAGTTTTCTTCCGAAATGGCGCCATGTCTGGTGACACTGAAAATGTGAAATTCATTGTGCCCAGTCAAAAGTGGCACGAGCCCTCACATGGTAAAGAAAAATCGAAAATAGGACTATAACTAACTCGTTTACAGACAAAATAATTTGAAAAGTGAATGATGCATAATCATCTATTTCTCGACAAATGCTAATATAACAAACTAATTTTGACATACATTGCCTTTGTATGGATTAATGCTACAGGTTTATGAAAGTTGTCAAGAAATATTTTAAAATATGAAAAGCCTGAATGTATTGTAAATAGCTCATTTTTACACCTATTTTATCATCCTTAAATTAAAATGGCGCAAATACAAAACCGAAATAAAAAACTAGGCCCGACATATTTTGCATCTTTAGTAGGAGCATTCATCTTGATCTTTCAAAATTGTAAAAATTAATATTTCCTTTTGAGAAGAACTTTCGACATTGAAGTTTTGGGCAAAATTACATCACTACCAGTGCCGACAGAAAAGTTTATATGTAGAAAAAAGTTGAGAATTTGCACCACAGAGCATATGAACTTTTGTTTTATACAATTCAGGCAATAATCAATTAACTCAGAGCCCATCTACTGAAATTAAAATGCGAAAAATCATAAAAAAGTGAAGCTGACAAAATTGGTTATTTCTCGGCAAGGGAAGATGTTAGGAACAAATTTTTGATATTAATAATATGATCGCATTGATTCATACTATTTGTCAATAGGAATCAAATATCATAATAAATTTAAATCATTACAATAAAATATTGGTTTTGGGGGCTAAAAATACAGTTTTTGCCAAAATGACATTACTTCCAGTGATAATAAAAATGTTAAGCATGACATTTTCAAATACCCCAAATTCGACCTTGATCCCAGCTATCCTGGAATGTATTAATTTCAGAAATAGGAAACAAATTCAACAAACTGCCGCCTATTGTGTTTCTTTTCACACTCGTTAAAGTGGATTTTTCACTGTTTTTCATATTCAATTCAAAATGGTGACCATCAGTTGACCTAGATCAAAATTCTACTCTTTTTAGGCATTCCTTCAAGGATTCAGAAAAAGTAACTCCTATGTCTGTAAGTAAAATATCGCAAAAGCCTTAGGGATTTTTCACGTTTAAAGATGGTTGCACTTCCGGTTCTATCGATAGTCTTCATATTTTGTGAGCGCTTCAGTAATTCCTCAGCTAAAACAGAGAAAAAATTTCAAGGAAATCTGACATATATTTTGTAGATTTTTTTGAAAAATATGATCCTTAATTTCTCCAAGGGGAGATAAGTTAGAAAGTTTCTAATGACATCTTTCAAGTCGCATCAGTAAGATCTACTTACATTCGAAATTTCATGAAAATAGTGCAACTATTAAAGAAATTGTCAAATTGATCTCAACTTCCGGAACGAAATCACAGAGAGGAATTTTTGAAATTTGAAAATCTGAAATTGCAGGTGAAAATCACTTTCATCAAGGTACTGAAAGAAAAAAGAATTAGTCATTGTTTTTTGAGGTGCGCGATCGCTCTCGAGCGCCTGTCGCGCACCCGAATGTCGACTGAGGGGAGGTTTTTCTCCCTCGCCTTAAAATTGAAAATCGCTCTCCATATTTGTAAATCAATGGACATGTATATATTTGGGGTTTTTTTTCAAAAGAGTGTGAAAGACTCACATTCCGAGCGCCACCATGCTGTCATTGTGAACATTTATTTGGTGTATTTGATTAGTATAATGTGATCGCACAAGGTAATAAAATTCCGATGAATATGTTGCTAAAAATAGATGGCGACTGTGCACCATTGGTTAATTTAACTGAAATGAAAAGTAAAACTCTCACGAGACGTGAGTAATTACGAGAGATGGCACGTGAAAATTTCCAATGAGAATAATTTCGGAAGAAATAGATTATATTTTAATGGAATTTTCAAGCGTTTATGATTATATTTTGAATAGGGGTTATGTTTTTAAACAAAATTTATACAAGCTATATATATTTAGAAATGTCGACAAGTATTTCTATTGGAATACCGTATGTACTGTAGTTATAGACGACAGTAGAAGTTTGACTTGACTGTACGACTACATGAGTGCTATTTAGCAGACGATGTTTATTATCATTTATATGTAACAAAGAATGACTCTTACACACAGTTATTGATCTTCAGAACCATTTCCCAAACAAACAACTAATCACTCTCCTTAATATCAGATCATTCTCCTTAATTTCTAAATCACTCCTCTTATCGAAACTGGGAGAGCTTTTTTATGGGAGCGATTTTTTCAATTTGTTCATTAAGGGGAGCTTTTTTCGGCTCTCCTCTAAAATACAAAAAACAATGACTGGAATTAGTAAAATAGGTAAAAAACCAACAAAGTTACGACTATGCATTGTTAGTTTTTTCGTTCGTAAAATTCAGTGATTTCGAATTCGTAAAATGTCTTGAAAATATATTTAAACAATACCCACCACCCAATTTTAGGGGATAGGTCAAAGTTTCAGAAATATCCTATGGTTAGATTATGAGAAATTCAATTTGCAGACGTCCGGGCAGTCAACACGAGTTGTCGCATATTTTTACTTTTTACGGTAATGAAACATTTATAATACATTAAAATCTGATTAAGAGTAACAACTCATTAAGTAATTATCAGAAAACCATTAGAATTTGTTTGGTTTTTATAAAGTTCTGACCCATGCTAACGTTTAGTATACGAAACTTTTAACATCATGGATTTAGCTAGTCAAATCATAAAAATTCATTGAAAATCAATATACTTGTTCGTCTCAAGACCTTAAACTCTGTGTATCAATCTAAAGTCAATCGGAAGATAACTTTGGCCTCTAAAGTGTCACAAGTTTTTTCAAAGTGATCAAGGGCCATAACTTTGGCAGTAATTTAATTATCGTAAATTGTTGAAAATCAATATGATTCTTTGTCTCATGACCTCAAACACGGTGTATAAATTTAAAGTCAATCGGATATTAACTTTAATCCTCTAGAGCATTTATAAGATATTTTGAAGTGATCAAGGGCCATAACTCTAGCAGTAATTATCGAAAATCGCTGAAAATAAAGACTTCTTCGTCTCATGACCTTAAACACTGTGCATAAATTTAAAGTCAAGCGGATATTAACTTTAGCCTCTAGAGCGTCCACAAGATATTTTGAAGTGATCAAGGGCCATAACTCTGGCAGTAATTATCGGAAATCGCTGAAAATCAATAGGCTTTTTCGTCTCATGGCCTTAAACACTGTGTATAAAGTTACAATTCGATATGCACGAATATCGAAAGGAACCGAGATC